GAAAAAAAACCCACTAAAGTTGTCTGGAACTCTGATTCCCAGATTCATGAATAATTATGCTAGAGATCCTGGAGAGACCCAGTGATCATTAAGTGTTCATTAGATATGCCTGAAAAAGAAAGGATTATAAGACCATCATGTATCATTTTTCCCCACAGTAAAAGAAGGGTACCCTGTATGACTTCTAATTTCACTAGAGCAGGAGAGCATGAAAACTGCAGAGAAACAAAGACTCCGTAATTCCTGAAGCAAACGGACAATTGTTCTTTAATCATTGCACATGTGGATCCCAGTCAAGGTGTGTTGGGCACCCCAACACAATAGTTTGGAACATTTTCACTAGCAAAGTGCTGTAGAAGTCACACACACACCATATGCCCTCCTGCTCCCCTTCCCAAGGACATAAAGAGCCTGAGACCCTAACTGCCACTCAGTTCTTTGCAGTCATCATAGGTAAAGCAGATAGAACTCAATCAAGCCTTATGATAAAGCTCACAAGTGCCTGGATCCATTTAGGAGAAGGTCATACTCCTGAGCCTCTTTTCAGAATTGCCAATTATGAGGCCTTCAAGGCAAAATAGAATTACATCAGCCACACCAAATTCACCTCCTTTGTTGACCACCTGCTGTCAGAACACAGGGACCAGTTTCAAATTATTGGGGCAGTGGCCTAGCTATTGGCCAGAACAATATTGCAAGCCTCCCTCAGTGCTGCTGACACCACTGCCTGTTCACTTGCCACAACAATGGTAATGAGAAGAGCAACCTGGCTGCAGCTCCCTGTTTTCCCTAAAGAGGTTCAGACCACAGTTGAGGACCTTCCTTTTGATGGTTCTAAATTGTTCACAGATTTGTTGTATAAGCCTCAGTGAATATTGAAGGATGTCAGCGTGACTTTGTGTTCTCTTGGCATTTACATCACTTCATATAAGACAAAACTCAGCAAGTTCCAAATGGCATAGAGATCCTGCTCAATATAGTTCATCTTCCACCCACCCCCGAGGGCATATGAACCACGCCAAAGAAGGCAGAGGTTTCAGAGGGAAAAAAAATCCATTATTCAGACTTCCACTTCTCACCCATCAACTCCCAAGCAGTAATTTTGATGTTTTGGTTGAATGTGTGAACTACCACCCTCATCCTCTTCTGCTGCACCAGTTCACCAACCTTTCCTTTTTCACAAAACATGTTCACTGCTTCATGAGCCTGGAAGTTGACCACTACAGACAGTAAGTTTTGGAGATCGTCTCCATAAATTATTCAATTCACTTTACTTCCACCAGCGAATCACCTCCTTTCCCCATCCAGCTTCAGGGACCTCTTTAATCAGAGTGCTTCACCAAGAAATAGATACTGTCATATTTGGAAGCTCTAGCTCCATGCGGCACAGAGGGAAGGAGCTTTATTTTAGATACTTCTTAGTACCAAAAGAGTAGAGATAAGATACCCATCCTAGATTTGAAACTATTCAATATCTATGTGAAGATGCCGAATTTCAAAATGGGGATGCTTGCAGTAATAATTCCTTCATTATAGCAAAGGGATTGGTTTTTAGCCCTTAACCTTCAAGACACTATTGGTTTAGTGTGATGGGGTGGACTAAGCCCTGAAGACTCTTGCTAGAGGCCTGGTGGCCATACTACACCCCACCCTCCAAAAAAGGCAGCTAACTTCCTAGAGCAGCTATGTGGAAAGCAGCCATTCGGGGCTCAGCAGGCTAGTATAAGAAGAGCTGAAGGGCCAGAGTGAATTCATTTCCTTAGTAGAGCTGGAAGAACATGGACAGGGAGGAGCAAGAATTTGCCCTAAATTAGTTGCAGGGACTAGGTCCTGAGGTAAGGATGAAGACACCATAGGGAATTGACCCGGGGAATTAGAGCAGCAGCACAACTTAGATAAAAGGACATAGTGAGAGCTGCTATCTACAGACTTCCTAGGCTGGAAGCTGGAGTAGCGGGTGAGCACAAGTCCCCCCAGACTTCTCATTAGTCACTGGGGGAAGTGTCCTGGACTTTGAGGTACCCCAAAGGGGGAACTGAACTGTAGTTGCCCAGCTGAAGACCTGGTGCCAGAAAGGTCCTAAGAGGTGAAGACATTGCCTCCAAGGAAGGAGCCCTGGGCACCACTCTGTTCCACAGCAGGGACAAACTGAGAGAGAGATTACAGAGGACACCCACTCCATATCCACAACAGTTGTTTTGAGGAAGGCTTCCTCACTTCACCTTTCTGGCCTTCCAAGTGAAGTCTGCTATGGAGGCGTTTCATTTGAGGAATCAAAGTTATTTATGGAGAAAATGGATGAATCCCTCCATACACTACAAGATTGTAGGGCCACTTTGTGCTCACTGGCACTTTATACAGTTGCACAAAACACAGTTGCAAATACAGCTTAAAAAAACTTGTACCAATGCCTTTAGCAGTCAAAAACTCCTTTGACTTGTAGAAAGACCCTCATGATGTCTGCTCATTCCTGCACCCTTAACGTTAGTTTTTACATCAGACACATCTCTGTTGGGATGGGGAGCCCAGCTGGATACCCAGAGAATTCAAGGCAAATAGTCCCAATCCACACTACATATCAAAATACTTAGAACTCAGAGCAGATAAGTATCCCTGTACACATTTCCTACCACTGACTGAGGCAAGCATATAAAAATTATGATGGACAATATCTACTCTTTGTGTTGAAGCTGTGAAATTCTGGAATTGGTGCATTTGCCGTGATATCAGCATCTCAACAGCTTAGCTCCTAGGCATATAAAATACTACATCAGACACTGAGCAGCAAAAATTTGGCCAGGATCACAAATGGAAAAGACCCCTCTTTCCTCCGTGGCATAGTTTTACATCAGGGAGTACCAAAGATAGGCTTATTAGCCAAAACAAGAAGTGCTCTCACTTCTACTTCAGGGCTGGCCTAGGTCATCACTCTCTCAGGCTTTGTCTATACTTTCCTGGAAGGCCGAATTAAGATACTCAACTCGAGCTATGTTAATTGCCTTCATTTCTTGCCTTACCTTACCTTACCTTAATTCAACCTTTAGCACCATCTCAAAGCGGGAGATCAACAGGAAAAATATTCAACTTCCCTTACTCTTCATGAGGAATAAGAGTTCCAGCATTGATGGGAGTGTCCTCAGCATTTGATTTAACATGTCTACTAGATCCACTAAATCAAACTCCAGAAGATCAACCACTGCAGCATCCATCTTCCTGGTAATAAAGCTGTGGTCTCAGAGACACCTTTTCTTACAATGGAACACAGATCTCTTGTATGCCTTTCCCCCCAATTCCTCTAATATCCAAACTCTTAATCAAGGTAAAAAAAGAGTGAGCCAGGGTTATATTTATAGCTTCTACATGGCCAAGATAAGCATTATTTCCATTAGAGATGTAAAATCCCATGTAATGGGTTAACTGGTTAAACGTACTGTTTAACTAGTTAACCAATTAAAAGATATGGGGCTTTTCAGCCTGGTTGGCTGGAAAGGTCTCACCCCTGCCCACCACAGTTGGGCTGGGGTTCCCGCCCTCCCACTGCCGACGGGCTGCTCAGGCCAGGCTGGAGTGCCTTTGCCTACGGTAGGCCCCATGGGACTAGAACAGCTCTCTGCCTGCAGCATTCAGGGAGCTGCTCCAGCCCCCACCAATTAACCAGAACTGGTAAGACTCACCCATTAAGGGCAAGGTTTAACCAGTTAATCATTCACATCTCTAATTTCAGTATCTGCTCAACTGGTGACACCTATCAATCACTCTCCAACCTGTTTCTCATTTCCTCTTATCAAAACACTGGCCAGATGAATCATCCTAATCTTCAGCTCAAGGCATGGCTTATGATGGTTCCAATCCAAAGCTTGCAAATAGCCTGGTCAGAGGCTGCAATAGTGATGTTGTTACATAGCAGAAAGCAAACTACTTGTCACATGTATATTCCAAGGTGGAAGAGATTCCAACTCTAGTGACTTGAGATGCATTACTTCTAATTCTACATCCACTCGTCTACAACTTGTGTGAGATTACATCCTAGAACTAAAAATGTCAGGATTATCTCTAAGCTCCATAAAGATGAGTCTTGTAGCCATCACCGTCTTCCATTGTAAGAAAGATGTCTTTTTGTGTTTGCTTATCTTTTCACAAGAAGGATTCTCAAGGGCGTGGGTAACCTCTTCCTACAAATCAAATGCTCTACACCAGCATGGGATCTCAGCCTTGTCTTCAGGTTCTATAAGGCCTCCCTTTGAACCCATGACCATCAGCTCAGTTCTCCTCTACATCTCTCTATGAAAATCACATTCATAGAGATAGAGGCTCTAATGGCGCACTCTTCATATACAATATTTTTCGAAGACAAGGTTACACTACAACCACACCCCAATTTCCTATATAAATACCTTCAGATTTTCATATAAACTAGCTTATCCATTTCTGAGTTTTCTTTCCAAAACCAAAGTGGGAGAAAAGGGAGGGGGCATTACACATACATACACTAGCCTTCTGTTTGTATAGGGCTAAGTCCCTCAGGAAAGCTCTCAGACTTCTCCATTGTGGACAGATCTAAGTGATCCTCACTCACTAATCAAAAACTCTCTAAATGGGTATCAGACTGCATTACATTTTGCTAACATTCTCTTGACATTCAGCCTCCTCCTAGAGCATGAATGCACTCCATGAGATCTTTCTCCACTTCAATAGACTTCCTTCAAAACGTTCCAGTCACAGAAATGTGTAGAACAGTGACTTGGATGTCTGCTCTTACATTTGCTTAATATTATGCAGACTTAGTGTCCAACACCATATTTGTTTCAACTGGCTTATCCTCAATTCTAGATTAGATTCTGAAGCCCCACTCCTCCATTGGGCTCTGCTGCAGAATCATCTGCAGTGGGGCACCCTATAGGGATACTACTCGAAGAGGAAGAAGGTTACCTTATGCAGTAATTGTAGTTCTTCAAGATGTATGTTCCTATGGGTGCTCCAATACCTGACCACCTTCCATCTGCTTTGGAGTTCTTACAATGAGCTCTGTGATACAGAAGGAACTGAGGATGGTTTACCTGCAAAGAGCTATGTAGCGTCAAGGCAGGGCATGAGATAGGGAGCACGCATGTACGTGTCAAATGGACACTGCTACTTAAAATCTCCAATCTGAGACACAGGAAGCATGAATATATCGACAGTGGAGCACCAACAGAAATACACATCTTGAAGAACCACCGCTAAAAAGTGAGTAACCTTTTCTTTGTCTCTGTTTGTATAGTTAGTATGCAGCTAGTAAGGTGCTCTTGAAGGATTCAAATATCTCATGAGGTTCTGATGATAATGTAACCACAAGAAGTAACAATACTAATACTTACCTTCAATCTTTTTCTCAATAGGTTTCCATACAGATGTTGGGGATGCTTCTGGCAAACCACAAAGAGATTCCTTGGCCAGCAATATGTTATATGACTGGAGAGGTAGCCTATGGAGGTCGTGTGACTGACCACTGGGACCGTCGTTGTTTGCTCAGCATTCTGAATAATTTCTATAATCCTGCTGTATTGCAGGAGGATTTCGTTTACACTATTGACGGGGTAGGAAAAATATTTTTTCTCTCACTATTCTCTGCATTTTGCTTCAGCTACCCCAGACTAACACGGCTACATTTCTATCACTATTGTGAAGTGTTGTAATAAGTTGTCCCTTTCTGCTGCATATTTATAATATTTTCAGCCTTATAAATTTGGATTTGGACACCACAAATGATGGGTGTCCACATCTAAATTTTGAATGTCAATTAATTTCTAAACTCTACTGTAACACAGAAGGCTCTTGTCATTCGGATTAAAATTGTATGCTTGCCACCCATATGTATTTTTTAAACAGATGGTGAAATATAGTATACTTAGCTGCATTGACCTGAATTACAGGGGCACACTTTGATTACCTTTCTGATATGAGTTTTTGTAAATAAAATCAGAGTATAAGGTGTATCCTTATGGTCAAAATTCACCACTGCCATTTTTGTTTTTGCATGCTACTGACTTAGTGGCAAATGTCAGGAAATGGGCAACAGAAAGATTTATTTGCACATTGTTAGCTCCCTGTTCTTGCTTTGCTGTGGCATAAATAACAAATGACTCCCCTCGTTTAAAAAAAAATCATGTGGATTAGTATTTAACTACAAAGCAGTACTGAAAAATGGAAAACATGGTAATGAGATTACAACCATACTTTAAAATACATTATAATGTTTCCTTCTGGTAGTCAGATTCAGTAGGATATGAAATGGTCTTTGACACTTTAAGACCAGTGACATAATGAGGGGGATAGCGGGGCAGTTGCCCCCAGGTGCCACGCTAGAAGGGCACCAATTTAGCTGCCAGAAGTTATGTTGACAGCCATATAGTGGAGGGAAGGATGGCACTGGGACCCTGTGGGTGCCAGCCATTTCCGCACCTGCAGGAAATCAAAACTGAGCACAAAGCGCCTGATGGGGCAGTGCACAGGGCAGGGGTTCAGGCTGGGCATGCGCAGAATGCAGCTGGTGCACACGCCCCATCTGCAACTACCATCCCCATGATCCTCTTTGCTGCCAGTTGGTCCAAGGCGCCGCCCGTTGGGCCGCAGTGTCCAGGTCCTCACCTGTAGCCAGACCCAGCTATTCATCTGCCAGGAGAGAACTTCCTTTCATTGCAACAACCTGTATTCTTCCCCAAACCCCACACAGATAATAAAGAGGCTGTGTGACACATGTTAGACATCTACAGAATGATTGCCTTCTATTTGGACAGGACTAAGCAAATACACGAATCACCAAGGTTATTCATATCTACTACCAAAAGATCCCCGGGAATGCCAATTTCTACTCGAAGGCTGTCCAGATGAATTGCAGATGGCACCAAACTGGCCTACTGCATCTTTAGGCAGGACTCTCCATTACAGCTACATGCACATTCTACAAGAGCAATGGTGGCATCTATAGCTTACCTGCACCACATACCTCTCGTGGACATTTATAGATCTGCCCATGATCCTCTGTCCATACATTTATGAAGCACTATGCACTTGAAACTTATCTGTCTCGCAACACACAATTTGGCTAGACAATATTAGCTACTGTGCATAACAGTGACCAACTGAAGCTCTCTCCTTTGAGCACAAGTACTCAGTCACCTAAGGTGGAGCACTAACAGGGACACTTCTCAAAGACGGAGCTTGATCCTGCCTTGAGGGCGGGGGGCTGGACTCGATGACCTCTCGAGGTCCCTTCCAGTCCTATTATTCTATGATTCTATGATTCTATGAAAAGAGGGTTGGTCACCTTGTACAGCAACAGAGCTTCTTCAAGATGCTCCACCACCCACCCTACCTCTGCTTCGGAACCATCCATTTCTGGGACAGAGAAAGAACTGAAGGGACAGTTGGCTGCATATGCGGAGTAGACACACGGGTGCATGCCGTCTACCCCACATGCACAGCCTACCAAGAGCACTACTACCTAAATTCTCTGACTAGAGGTGCAGCGGCATCCCAGACACCTAAGTTGGAGCACCCACAGGCACAAGCATCTCAAATAACCTCCATTACTGCACAAGGTGAGCAACTCTCTCTTACTATCAAGCCCAGTGTAAATAATTGTCATTTGGGGGAGCAATCAGTGTGTATATCCTCCTTTCATTGTTAAAGGGGACTTACCTGAATGATTTATTTGGGGTTCTGATCCCATTTGGGGAGTGGTTTCCCTGGAAGCTGTGGCCAAAACTGCATTCTCCTCAGACCTTAAGAGACTCAGTGTCTGTATTGCTCTTTGGCAGGGGAGAGGGTGATCTCAGCTCTGTGCCTTGCCTGAGAGAGACCAGGAGATCTGTCCCAGCAGGACAGGGTGGTGAGAAGCCCCAGAAAGCAAGGAGGCGAGTGGCAGAGGCTTTGTCAGTACACCAGGAAACATCCCAAAAGGGTCTTCTGTGACTGAGTCCCATCACAGCACTGAAAACTGTGTTGGGCTGTGTCTAGGCTGCACGCCTTTTTCAAAAGAGGCTTTTTCGAAAGATACTTTCAAAAAAGCCTCTTTCGAAAAAGATACTTTCAAAAAAGCCTCTTTCGAAAAAGAGTGTCTAGTCTACAATCAGTACTTTCAAAAAAGCAAGCTGCTTTTTCGAAAGAGAGCACTCAGGCAGTCTGGATGCTCTCTTTCGAAAAAGCACAGTTTGCATTACATAGCGCCTTTTTTCAAGAGCATTTTTGAAAAAAGGCATTATTCCTCGTAAAACGAGGTTCTTCTTCAAATGGTCCCCGTGGGTGCTCCACTCTGGGCGTATGTCTACACTACCACCCTAGTTCAAACTAGGGTGGTAATGTAGTCAACCGGAGTTGCAAATGAAGCCCGGGATTTGAATTTCCCAGGCTTCATTTGCATGTTGCCGGGTGCCGCCATTTTTAAATGTCCGCTAGTTCGGACTCTGTGCCCGCGGCTACACGTGGCACGAACTAGGTAGTCCGGACTACTTTTTTCTAGTAGTTTCTGTCGCGCCGCACACGCGCCATGGTGCCATCTAGTGCCATTGGAGTTTGTTGGGCATGCGCGCGGCGCGGCCTCCTCAGTTTCTTCTTTACTGTCCTTGGCAGTAGATGGAGCCTTCAGTTCTCCTTGTTTTCTGTTTAAAAAATAGACAATTTCCCTGTTGATCCCTCAGCTTTCCTCACAATCCAAGTTTTTTAGCCCTCTTCTCTTACCCAGTTAGTTTAAAAAAAAAAATTTTCTTGTCGCAGTTCGCCGCTTTTTTTCCAAGCGCCTCATGCCCGGTTCACACAGCTTTAAGAGGTGCGAGTCATGCCGTGACGCAATGCCATGTCTGACGGGCACGCTAAGTGCATTAAGTGTCTGGGTGAGTCACACCAGACTCAAAAGTGCCCGCATTGCTCCAGACTCACTGTGACAGCGCGCCGTGACCAAGCTAACAGGCTTAAAACTCTTCTGTACAAGAAGTCCCTTCGACCACCTTCTGACGACTCTCCAGCAACTTCAAAAATGGCATCGCAGAGCAAGAGTATGGAAAAAGATCATCCCTCTACCCTCTCTGGCTGCACGGCCTCAAAAACAGGCCTTTCTCCAACTCCCTTGCTACTCTCAGCACCAACAGCCACACAGGTCAGCACCGGGGATAAACCTGGGACTTCCGGCACGCCACCACATAAAACGATGGGGGCGCATAAAAGAGCTCACTCGGAGCCGAGACAAAGATCATCGGCACCGCAATCTATGGCACCGGAGCCACTGCGACTCCGTCCGTTCTAACTGCCCACGGATCTGACCACCCGGCACCAAAGCATCATAGTAAAGTGGCACCATCTAAGCAGCCATGCACTAATGCCCCCCCCCCCCCCCCCGATGGAACATTCGGCACCAACGCACATCATGGTACCATTTCTACCCGCAGCACCCACGTTTCCCATGGTACCAACAATGCCTCCAGTTCCTAAGATGCCCCCGGCACCCACACCATTGCCAGCACCTGCATCGGTCTCGGCACCACAGAAACGGCACCGTTCAGCACCGAGAGACAACTGCAGACGTTACTGCTCCCCAGCGCGAAGCCATACTCCTTCGGCACCACCTACACCGGGTTCCTCTGTTCAGTATGTGCGCTCTCCACATTCTTCTGTGGCTTGTCATTCTCCCAGTGATGCAGGCACCGGGTCAAGGAGCAGATTCTCATCTTACCACTCAAGCCTGGCGCCCAGGCCACCTTCCTGGCAACCTACCATTTTACAATATGCATACCCTCCTCCTCCACCACCACAACAATATGCTTATTCTCCTCCACCATATGCCACCCAATGGCAACCCTGGGAGCCACAGCCCAAGAGGAACCACCACCATGCGCTTTCCACAATTTTAAGGCCACCACCAGCCTCACCAACCACTACCGCTGCAGTCACTGAGCCAACTCCTCCGAATCACTCAGACATTCAGGACTACCTCTCCAAAGTGGAGGACAGATCCCCCTTATACAACTCATTGTCCTCCCTGGATGAGGCAATTGCGGCCGAAGTCCCACCTCTTGGCGATGACACTAGGATATTCCAGGACCTGTTTAAAAGAGTGGCCTTGGCACAGGAACGAGATCTCCAGGAGGTCCAAGTCAAACAGTATCAACTTCTCCATACATTGCAACCTCCAGTTGCCTCCAGAATAGCCATCCCCATGGATGAGGCTATCATGGACCCAGCCGATATCATCTGGCAGACTTCGGCCTCCATTGCCCCAACAAACAAAAGAGCGGACCGCAAATATTTTATTGCTCCCAGGAACATGGATTTTTTGTTTAACCATCCCCCTCCGAATTCATTAGTGGTAGACTCTGTTTGTCATAAGGGTAAACAACCAAACTTCAGAAATACCCCACAGGACAGACACCATAAGAAGGTAGATATCATGTGTTGTAAAGTTAATACGTCAGCTACTCTACTTCTCAGGGCATCTAACTACACTGCGATGCTTGCTGACTACGACCATGCCAACTACTCTAAATTACAGGACCTTCTTCCCCATCTTCCGGAACATAAGAGACCGACCTTACTCAGTGTTATG